TATTGAAATATTTTTAATAAGATGATATAAAAAATAATTTTATTAAAAATAATTTAATAAAATTATTATTTCATATTATATTTTAGATGTATAATCTAAACTGTATAATATAAATCTTTTTTAATATTAATTTTGAACTAAAATTTTAAACTAGTTAAAAAGTGTTGTTTGAATGAATACTACTTATTAAACAAACACTTTTTAAATTAATAAAAACGGATACAAATTAAGAATCTTAAAAAAATAAAAAATAATATTTAATTTATTAATTATCTAATTAAATTTATTTATGTAGCATTAAGTGTAAAATTAATATTTACTTTTATATTATTTTATATAAATTTATGAAAAAAACATATTTTTAACATGTATTCTTGTGGCCCATGTTAAAAAAATCCTAAATTTTTTTACAGCTCAGAATGTATTAACTTTTAAGACTCAAACATTTTGAAAAGAAATAAATCTTTATTACTATCTCGGTCATTCATTAATTTATTAATTGATTTTTTTAAATTTAATTTCGAATTGTGTTTTTAGTTAGAAATTCTAATATTTTCTCCTTTAAATTAAAATGGTGATTATTTATTTATTTTTTGTGATCTCAACTAATTACCTTTCAATTTCTAAGATATAAAACTCATTTCTTTTCTTTCTCATCCTTCATGAGATTCAATTTGAGGTTAGAGCTAGAATGCTGAAGTTTGCTCGCCCAAGGTCTTCATCACTTTCTATGCCTATTGCAATTCAATGGGGACTTGAAACAGTTGTGAAAGATTAGTTTCTGGGTAATATTAGGATGTGTATCAGTTATTGTGTATTTTTCCTAGTCTCTTTTCACTTGTAGCAGTTCCTGTGCTGCTTTATGTTGGAAGTATGTTTGGATAAATAAATTTACCTTTTATCCAAAAATAAAAATAAAAAAATAAATTACATTCAATCATAGAATCCTATTGCCCAAATAAATATACCCTCCAACATGGAAGTGTAAGCAAAAGCAAATCCCACAACAGCCCACCAAGAAAATGGGGGCAACTACCAAGTAGTAACTATATTTACCAGGCATTTTGCAGAGGAAGCAGGGTTTCTTCGGGCAATCAATATACGTGGCGCCCTTAAAGCCCGCCTCGTGACCCGCCTTTTTGCAAACCTAAACTGAGAAGAGAAATAAAAAATTAAAGGAAAATCAAACCCAGAAACCGAATTAGATTTCAAGAAGCAAACTTTTGAAAGCAAAAATAATGCACAGGGCTCAATTCGGATTACCTTGCAGACTTTCTTGAGACTGATAGTAATGGGTGCTTTCCCTTTCTTCTTGGCATC